ATTCCTAGTGCTTGTTCAACGTTGAACTAAATGTGTCTAGAATAGCGATAGCATTATAATCGAGTGGAATAAGATAATTTGTAACCGAAGTTGCCAGGAGACTTCTAGTGAAGACGGAGAATGCTAGTGCGTGTTCAACGTTGAACTAAATGTGTCTAGAATAGCGATAGCATTATAGTCCAGTGGATTAAGATAATTTGTTACCGAAGTACAAATAGATCCAATCATCTGATGTAGAAACCGTTATTCTCTCCACGCACAGCCCCCTCCACTTAACAATATTAATCAAGTGTATGAAGCTGTAGTATTCATCCAATCCTATGTGAATTTGGCTCACTCACCTTACTACTCCAATTCTCTATATGGATGCACGCGTGTATACACACACAGACCTACTCTTGTGACTTTGACAAAATGTTTCTACTCAGACCCGAAGCACACCAGAACTGTGGCTATGCACATTCATGTACCTAACAGAATGTTCTTGGAGCACAGACGTCAGTAAAGGGCACTCAGTCATTACCATGTATAAATACTAATAGCCTGTGGGTTAAAATCACTTTTACAATTGTTATTCCAACAAACAGGAAGTACTGTATAAAAATTCTCGTACTATGTTGAAACAGCATAAAACTGTTAGGTCATTTATTGTGTGGGCATATATCCTGTTCAACAGTTTTCATTTGGGGATATATGAATATTTACTTCAGACATGTAATGTCATACAACCTGGTAGATATTCACCAATGTTTCAGGGGAATGTACTGCTTCCATCTTCAGGATTAAGAAGTTAGCTAACTCATTCTCTATCTTTTATTGGTTCTATCCAAGACCTTTCAGACAATGGTTACAGTCTCACTAGTTCTCTTGGAGTTCCTTTCTCTCCTGTATCGGAACATGGATACTTCTCTGGCATGCTCTTTGACCCTGAAGATGAACAGACTACTTTTCTCCAAAATGTCCCTGAGCTTCTATCAGACTGCACAACATTTCTTATCAGAAGATGCTACTTATCACAGTTACTGTTGTTTCAACCTCTAATCCAATATATAATGAATATTTCCGAAGGTTATTACTAGTCACTTTTAAATTATTTACTTCTAAACAAATGGTATTTCTAATTGCAGATTACAATATTTTGATCATAAGTGTTTTTAATTAGTGATGATGATATGATAAATTTCTTTTATTTAAGTCATGCCTCCCACGTGCCTAAACTTCCAAGCTTTCAGTAAATCTAATCTATTTCTGTATAGGAGACGTTCATGAGAGCATAGTGCTCTGTCAGCAAAGTTGAATCTCTTCTTTATATGATGATCTCAATGAACTGTTAGGAATACAGTATGTGTTGAAATATACAACATACTGGAAAAGTCTTAATAAATGTTATTAATATAAACATCTGAGCTCATGAACATGTTTTTATTAAAATACGCAGGCAAAACTTTGTTTCAATGTAAAAACCAGCCTTTGAACTCTGTAAGCATACCATCTAGCCGGTCACGGCAGCCGAGCGGTCTAAGGCATGCACTGTCTTCGCTCGCTCGGAAGCCGAGATCGTGAGTTCGAATCCCACTCAGGGCATGGATGTTTGTGTGCGTTTTTCTGTGTCTGTCTACAGGTAGAGGCCTTGCGACGAGCTGATCACTCTCCCAAGGAGTCCTCCCGTATATGTAAGATCTAGAAAAACCGAAGTGAATGGAGAAGTTCATGGAGGTAGACCTAGGCCCACTGGGACTGTAGTGCCAAAGGAAAAAAAAAAGCATGCCATATAATATTGCATTATGTATCACTTCAAGAATGCAGGTTAATGGGTGACATTGCTACCGGGTGGCGATAAAGTGAACTCATTGCATTGCTACTGTGTAATTTGCAGTCTGATGTCAGCTGGTGCACAGGGTTGACAGATTATGTATATAAGTTTATATTTCCTACAGTTTGATTCATTCCGTGCTCCTTCTACCAAAACCCATTTTAACATGATCATACATCGTTCCTCTTTATTTCACATTCTCACAATATCTTTTCCCTTTGATCCATTTTAATACACTATATTCATTCCCAATTAATTGTTCGATGTATTGCTTTCCTAGAGATTTCCTTGTCAGAAATCTCCATACTTTCCTTCGTTTTCTCGTTGATAATTCCGTTTCTTAATTAAAAAACATTATTAGGTGCACTGTATAAATCGTAAGTTCCTCAACGTGACATATTCTCTACTAACTGCTCATTTAATATTCTATATATAAAAAAGTAAAAGTATCCCTGTAACAGGCCGCGGAGGCCCATAGGATTGTGAGATGTTGAGGTTCCCACATTTTCTAGACAATCGGCTCATAGATGCAGGCTGGGTTGTCAGATTTACGCGCCGGCCCCCCTTACCATCAAGAATATTCCAACATTTGTATCGTGGCTGAAGTACAGAGTGCATTCAATTTTCTGTGAATTCGTAGTGAATTTGAATATTGTAGTTTCATTTCGTCATAGAATGGCAATGAAACATTGTTAGGAAGATGGTGAAATTGAAAGGCAGCTGGAATATATGTGAATTGGGACTGTGCTTTCTCAGATGTTTCAAGGAGCACCACACAAAGGTGAGATTTGGTTACATATCGCGGGGAGTGAAGACTCAGTATACTTCAAGCAACTACCTATAACAGAAAAGTAATTACACTGATTTGTACAATATTTCAAAATAAACATTTAGTGTTGTGCATGCACTTGTACTAGCGACGTGTGCGTGCTTCCACTAACGGCACTTAAATGCCCGAATGCGCAAATCGGGGTACTTTGGCTACGACGACCATATTCATAAGCGTACCGATAGGTGCACTTCGGACGTTAAACTTTAACTTAAATATTTTCTTATTATTTTTTTACTTTTTCCTTCAGTTTCTATAACAGACTCATTGTATTCAGATGTTTTATTGTTTTCTCCCAGTAAACTGACTAGGTTGTCACCTTTGTCTGTAATTATGCATGGAAATATATTTAAAAAATGTCTCACAATTAAGTCGCATGGAATCCTGAGGTGAAATCTTCAGGCTGACAAATGCCATATGTCCTTACAACAATGGCGTGGCACAAAGGTGTTCTCCTTAATTATTTATGTGTGAAAGGAGAGAGAGGAAGTTGAAACAGAACAATTACAGAGGAGCCTTAATTTTTATGGGGTGAATGACATGAAGTGACGTATAATTTCTTTTCCCGAATATTCCGATCCTACAATAAGGTATGTTATAGGACATAAAGAAGGTAAACCGATGGGAAGTGGATGGTTTTGGTTTATGCAGCAAAGGAAAGGAAAGTGGAAGGTTCCAGTGCAGAAAAGTTGTGGTTCCAGTTTTGCCAAATATCTGGGAAAGAAAGAAATCATAATGAGTACTGTCATTTGGGATATGACGCCATATGAACCTCTAACAGGTTACATGTCGTCACGAAATGGAAGATAGTATTCTTCGTAACGACCACAATGAGGAACTCAAATACAACGGAGAACATGTTGAAAAATTCAAATGAATTTAGTACCACAACAGGACATTTCTCCATTTTCATGGTAAGTATGAACAATCTGGCCATGTTGTGTTTTTCTAATAATACACTGGTCGATTTATATATATATATAAATTAGAAACTAGATTTTGGTCAGAACTGAAAGCACCCCTTTTTATCCTGGACCTTTCAATTAATCGACATAATATTTAAAAATACAGCTCCAGCCACACAGGTGGATCTCCATTACAAAGAGCAGTCAACCAATGTTGCTTCAAGATGTAGCTGCTGTTTATACTAAGAATCTTACGAAAACCAGAAATAGCTCAGTAGGCAAAAGTATATTTTTTTAATATTAACATTGTACAAAAGTACATAATTATTGCACTTTAATGAGTTAATAAACACAAATCCCACCGCTTCCGCCACTATACCTTTCTTAAGCCGCCGCTACACCTCTCTTATACCGTGATGACAGAGGGCGTGGAAATATCCCGCTCTGTCACCCTGTTTAGTATGCTGCCACCATCTTGTTATATCAAGAAAACTAGTAAACTTATCGTTGCTTACGTCACTGTCCTGGCTTAACTCGTAATTCGCCGAAGCTTTGGGAGGTCCTGGAGTTGTCAAGGAAGAGGGTAACACTCAAGGAAATGTTAGGTTGAATTAAACGCGTACACATTCCTATCCTATTCTGTTTACCTACGTCGTTATATACACTATATACACACTGTGCCGACGTTTGTCGGTTCGTCTTACATTGGGAATAACCCTGCAGCGCCTCATCATTTCTACCTCTTGGCACCCTACTGTCGGGTGTTCTACGCCTTGGAATCACTGAATGAACCTAGTCCATCTGGTTAGCCTATCTTCCCCTGCGGTTTACACTTTACACTTATCACTGTTACACTTAATGTTCATGGCTATATGAAGATGGTTTCACTTACTTGAGCTGAGGAAGAAGAGGCTCGCCATCACCAACCAGCGTCCACTCATGGCCACGAAGGTAACACTAATGTAATAATGACATTAATAATATTATAATATAAGAATTGAATTGTATTGAATTGTCCCATAGAATGATTCGTCTAGGGTTTATATAACCTCTGGTTGCTGACTCGTCATGTTCCGGGTATATTGGTCCTCCTACTCTGACGTGATTTTGGGTCGGTGTGGCTCGATTATTGGTTGTCGATCGAGAAGGGGTTGACTCTTTTGGCTGTGCCGCCTTCTCCTACTCAGCGTTTTCCGTCTGCCATAGTGCTTATGACCTACTTCATATAGCTCTTCCTCATCGTCAGCGTTATTACGCTGCCGCGTTAACATTCTGATTAGTCAGGAATTGCTTGTACACTTCCTTGTAAACCCAAGCTTCCCGGTTCATGTCCTCATTACTGTTTTTTTAATCTTACAGTCTAATTATTGTGATTCCAAATTTACCCAAAAAAACTACATCTACATGTACGTAACCTTTGATCCATCACACTGAAGCAATTGTTTTCCTTTAATTTCCAATTTTATTTTCAATCTCTACAAGTACAGTCAGTAAATTGTATCCGCCACAAATAACTCTTCATAATGCATGTTTACACACATTTCTTACAGCTCAACATTATGTTTTCAAGTATATTAGAATATATCAGTATTGCTTGCCTGCATGATCACCCTGTGTGCATCTTTGCACTATACAGAAAGTTACGTGCATGCTTCCAGTCAATCACCATGTATGATATTCTTCACAAATGTACAGATACTAGCGAGTGCATGCTGTTGCACTTCACTGTGGTACACAATCCAAAGGAGGGAAATAATTATGACAACGCGTAGAATTGCATCCAGCCACCAGAATCTGCAGAAAGAAACACAAAAATAAAGTAATGTGAGATTTTTTCTATTTTAGTAAAATAATTCTTAGATATCCCTATCATAAAGAGCGGATATTATTCAAATATTTATTTGGTGTGGAAGAAGGAATTGAAAATAACCATCTGGCGACCTGTATACGGGAATCATCCGAATGAAATATTTGTCTGGATCACCAGCTACCATAAGTGAAGTTCTTAAGGTTTTATTCAGACCAGGAGAGTACTAAGAAACAAAGAACAGAAGTTGAGGCATGGTGATTATTTCTCTGGGTTCTCTTCTTTTCTAAATTCTGCTGGGATCTCTGCCATACTTTCTCAAATAATCCAGGTTATCTTTACTCCCTAAGCAAATGCAGGGATTGTGCTTGAATGTATGTCTGTAATATCCTAAGCTTACCTTTACTCAAACAGCTACCATGTAGCTACCACAACTTACTTACTTACCTATCACAACAGTCAAAATAAATACTGTTACTCTGGATTTATGTGACATTTATGTACTGAAAAGAATAATATCTGATTGTAGCTTCCTGTTACACATCATTTATTATTCAATAAATGTCACTGGTTCATCGTGTTACGTGCAACGCGTAATTCTGAAGCTTATTTAAACTTTTCTTACATACAAAGATTGAGTGTTTTAAACCTTATTTAAATGCTTCTGCATATTGAATTACATGTTTCTACCGACACTGTTCATCATCAGATATTTCAAAATTGTTGTTGGAAACTGCTGTGCGTCCGTTTTGTTATTCTATTATTTGATGTGTAGTCCCATCTACGTGCTAGTGTCTCTGCCTGCTGTATATGCAGGTGAGTACACAAATAATGGGAAAACTAAGAAATTGGATATAATTTGTGTTGGCTATATTGAAAGAACTTCAATTGGCAACGCTGAATATTCTTCCCTTTGTTTACACTTTGTAGGTAGGTAATGGTAATGGACACAACACATTTCTAATGCGCAACAAATGAAGTAAAAAAAAGCGTCATTCTCTATGCAGTCAATGCGATTGTTACGTGATTCAACAGTAGAACTGTTGGAAGAGGTACTTTTCTGTGTGGTCCATGCCGAGGCTATATAAGGAGCAGCAGCTGCGATTACGAGAAAGTCTTGAGAGGGGAGGTAGAAGAATAGGAGTTGTGAGACAGTCGCCAGCCAGCAAGGACGTCAACAGGGAAACTGAGAACGCTATGGCGTTGAAATCCATTAAAATGTGACAACCCGTGAAGATACAAGAGGCTGAGAAATCTTCGTATGTGCTGTAATGAACTGCAGAGTGTGTTAATTAGTGTTTTCGTTATAGTTATTTGTAGCCACGTTCAGTAACAGTTCGTTAAACCCAATTACCAATCCAAAACACGTCTATAATCACTCGATCGTGTGACTATATATATATGGACAGGAATTTTCCGTTATATGTTAACTTTATTAAGTGAACGCAAAGAATGCATTACTAGTAGCAGAGTTTGCAAATTTCTTACATTATGTAACACCGCGGATTTCATCGTACTTACTTCTGAAAAGTATGGTCCTCTGGGTTCCAGTGCCACGTTGTCCAGCAAAAGAACAGTATTACTGTATCCAATATTCAGGGTCAAAGAATAAGCCAAACAAGAATCCAGCAGAAACACGTGGCAAGCTGAGCTCAGCTTCTAATGTAAGTTACTTGCCTTATTCTTCAACCAAGAAGAAGGAGCTGATATTGTAAATCTTGCCTTGAGTGTTTCGTAGAAATTGACTGAAGTTAGGACAACGACAATGCGATATTTTGGGCTTAGCGACGGCAATATTGCTTACTAAGATATGAAATCCCCACACGAGTTCGAAAGCAGGAGCGCGGAGAGTGAGTGGCGATAGGTAGCGATTGAGTCGAGATGAGAGTTTTGTCGCTAGTGCTACGGCAAGTATAGTGCAATAGGAAAGACCAACCCAGTCTAATATAACCTTCTATCGATTAGAAAATGAAGCGCCCAGCACGTGTATACACAGCAAGTATTTCGTATCCTTCATAAGATTGTGAGTAGAAATTCAATCAGAATTTTGTTGAGTACACGAAATTTGGAAACGCCATTATGTGGGTTTACGAGTTACTCTCTGCCGCAGTTTATTAAGTAACGCATTTCTTTTGGCCGCGCCATAGCTCAAGCGGTTAGTCGCTGGCTTCCCACCGCGGCGGCCCTGGTTCGTTCCCGGGTCTGGTCAAGTGCGATTGTGGTGGACAAAGTGGCGCTGGGGCAGGTTTTCTCCGAGTACTTTGGTTTTCCTTGCCAATCTTCATTTCCCCAATTGCTCCACAATCACCCTCACCTATCATCTGGGACTGGTACAATAGGCAAGAAGTGGCCGCAGTACAAGGGACTAACACCCCACTAACAATAAAAAAAAACATTCCTTTTATTCATATCTGTTGTAAAGAAAACCGAATTTAACGGCCGTGGGTAGCCGTTTCGCTGACCACGTTACTCTCTCTGTAAGCAAAAGTTGGCACTAACCTCGCCGACATGCGACGGTGGCTCGGTCGGTACAGTTCGCGTGCGGACTACAGGCCACAGAGTTTCTTTGTTTTTTGTTTGCAGTATAGGCGCTTCGTTTCATTGTGTGCGACCGGCCACATAGTCTTAGGAACTTGCATGTAGAGCTACCGGATCCACGAATCAAAGAGCCATTTCTATTTCTGTACACATTTCGTTTGCATTTGTTTGGAATCTTTAACTAAGTCCACGTGTCAGTTTCTTTCCCCATATATTTTATGCTGTATTTTGTTACCTGTTCTGTTATATAGTCGTGAAACTGCACATCGTGAATTATTAATGGCCTACCCTCCCTTGAGGTTTACAGTTACCAGGTTATAATAAGTCATCAGTAGACGGATTCCCAAAATATATTGTAACGTGTTTCGTTACTGAATACGCCGTAGAGATCGTTAATTGGTTTATTGAACAATCTACAAATATCGGCTACAATTGTTTATCACACAGCTGCGGGTTTCCACACTTTACAAACCCTACAACAAAATCTCTTAACACAATATTCACTTGTCTTCACGTACTAATAACGCGGGAGCTATACAAGTCTCCCTGAATTACACACTCCAGATATAACTGGTTATCACGAACTATCACTGATTCTCGCACACGCGGCTGTAGCTCGTAACTTGCGAACTGAGAACCCGTTGATAAGACACTCGGCGACTGTTACTTTAAAACTCTGCGACTGCTACGTTACAACTCGACTCGGCGACTGTTACTTTACAACTCGGCGACTGCCCACATTACAACTGACTGGTAGCTGCTGTGCAGTTCCCTTATATAGCCGCAGTGTTGCCTGTTGCGTGCCACGTCACAGTAGGAAGTTGATTATGGGTACGTAGCGTTGCGCGTTACGTCACCGCGGAGGGTGGGAGGGAGCGCTACGTTACCGCCACGCGCCTGTGGCCTGAGTTGCCTCGGTCCTGCTGGGTAGGGAGGGGTTCTCCGTTGCGCAACATTTTACAATATTGTTATATTTTAGCGTCCTGTTGCACTGATTTTCAGCCATTATATGTATACAGTGGCCGTCTTGTAGTGCACACAATTTCACCTGTCACTTCACAACATGTTTCGGCAACACAGTGCCACAGTTGTAATGTTGGATCCAACATTACAACACTCGCAGCTAAGAAGGGAACACACATCACAAGACGCGGTTTACGCAGAAAATAAGAAAAACGACCCCGTAGTGAACGAACCACATACAAGTTTTAATTAAGACAAATAAAATGAGTTATCTTAACAAGTTTTAGCGAGTGTAAATTTATCATAGTTGACAAACACGGACCTTTTAAATACTTTTTAAATGGTTGGTGAAAACATATGAAGGCAGGCAATGCAATAGATTGACGTAGATGGGACACCTGATGATGGCACTGTGTTGCCGAAACATGTTGTGAAGTGACAGGTGAAATTGTGTGCACTACAAGACGGCCACTGTATACATATAATCCTAAATATATGTGTCTCCAAATCTTTGTTCTTCCAGCAAAATTGTAACCTTCAGTCAGTATCATCACAACCTCGAATCCAACATACTTCCTTCTTTCCTCTCCTTAGCTCGAGCGTGCCTCAAATTCTGTGGCAAATGTCATTCAGCTTGTACTTAAGATTATAAATCATTGATCTAACTGGGAGTTGGCATGACAGGACTTCCACAAGAAACAGTGAAAAGCTGAGAATTATGCAGAGTTCCTTTTTTCATATGGAAAAAAACAGTTTTTAATTAAATTCCGCAATAAAATATTAATTGATTTTCATCTCAACCTGTTAACCGTACAGATTCTGAACGGACACCAAGTTATCTGATGGATGATAAAACCAGTATTTCACGGAAGAGATCTTTTGAAGCGGCTTTCCGCAATTCCTTTCATAACATAGCAAAACCATTTTTATTTAAATTAGTGATCATTTTAAAATTTCTCGTACTTGCATCAAACAAATGTTAATTAAACTCATGCACTTTAATAGCAGCATGGAATCAAACCGTAACTGGGCATTAGAGTAGAAATTGTTAATACTGGGGAAATCTCATATATCAGCCACATACTCGTACTAACTCAGAAATTGTAAACAGTAGCCAGGTCTTGAACATTAACCAATTGCTAGCACGGACTTGAAGATGCAGGTAATAAAGAATACTGTGGCATGTAGATCCGCTGCTAGACAACGACACGGAATAAGCGACACTAGAACAGCCGCTGCTAAGTAATGGCTCTGCAAACAACGGCCGTTGCTACGCAATGACTGAGTAGCGATTACGTGGGTACCCCAACAGACACGGACTCAACAATTACACTACAATGGAGGAACGGTGTTTTCTGTGCGTTCTATGCCGAAATGTTACAAACCGGGCAATTCGGTGAGTTAGCTGGTGAGTGAGTGATTTAGAGGACTGTTACAGTTCAATCTTTGTAAGCTGTTGATGTGAGAAGCCGGTTACTGAGGCCGGGGACCGTTCGGGAACCCAAAGGAAGGTGAGTGACGGTCGTTGGAAGCCACTACAAAAGATCGGTTAGTGAAGAGTGTAGCAGGCTGAGAAGACGTAGTTTGCCCTCTAGTAATTTTCTGAAGTAAAGTATCAAGTTGTATTGTGTACACTAAATCCAATTACTTATCCAAACCCCATCTATAGTTACAACAATCGTGACAACGGGTCTACTTACTATAATATGTTAAATTTATCAGTTTATTTATGTGACACATAACAAACTTACCAGAGTTTGACAGGTCAGTCATATAATGTATAGTATATATAGGTGTATACGCATGCTACTATAATTATTTTGCTTCTGGACATTATGTATAATCCTGGTTTCTGTTTAAATCAAAATATTCCGGAAACTCATTTCTGACCCCATCTTCAGGTGGAACCTGCTAAGTTTGGGGCAGTCAATAGAGCTATCCCCTATCTTTGCACATCAGCTATGCTTGGTTTATATATTCTATCATGTGTCGGGACTGATGTCTGTAGATTGGGACTACCTTTATCGATTGGGCCCAACTGAAGATGGAGACAGAATTCAATCTCTAAAGCTCTAATTATTCTAAATAAAAACAGGACGATAGGGAATATCCAGAGGCCCATTAATTGTACTAATATACCAACATCACAAACTTTTAGTTCTTATTTCCATACGCTGCAATTCAAAACTTTGTATGTAACTGAAATATTCTGGTACCGTTGTGCATTCTACCTTGTGTAAATTCTTCTTGCTTGTGTCCTGTCTTCAGGCTCCTTCAGTAAATACACTAATGCTCCTTTCGTAGCGGAAGTGAAATACTCTTTTACATCAACATTATGGATTTCTTTCATTTGAAACTCTTTGTCAGCTGGAAGGACTTGATCAATAAGCCACAACATCATGTCATTCTTTAAGTACCATGAATTGCTTGCAAAGTGAAAGAGTGCCATCGATGCTAAGAAAATGCGTTTTTGAATTCTTAGTAATCTGAAATAAGACACATTACCTGAATTTATACCTTCAAAAAATTTAATCTTAATTGCACTTAAGTTATCCTCTTATAACAGTCAAAGAATATCATAAATAATGCATGATGTCTCAAACAGGAAAATAACAGAAGTATTTGGATTTGTAAGACTGTTTAAGATAGAAATCCAGCTGCTTAAAAATAGTGTTGTGAGGTTTTATTTTCATCTTATTTCGTAAGTCCCAGAAGGAAATTGCTAGAATTGTATACTTCATTTGTATATATATGGAACATCATGACACAGGTTATCAGCAAAACAAAGCAAGAATCCTATCATACGCTGATATTCAGCACATATTAGTATGAGCAAATCTGTGTGTACTGAATGTTGCAGTTGAATGGTTTACAGGAAGATCAAGGTTAAATTCTCAATCCAGGGGCTAGTTATGCCAACAGTGGTCTTAGGTAGTTTTCTAAGCCCTTCAATGCCTATAATGGGGTAGGGTTTTAAAAGAATAGATGGCAACTTCCTTTTATATCCCTCCAAATTTACATATCCTTTCATTTGATACCATACAACATATGTAACATTGTTAAACGAGTAATAGTAAATTAACCAGAAACTAGGATCATAATTCTAAGTTTTAAAATCTGCGTTTGCATTGTATAATACTTACAATGGTTTCTTTCCTGCAAATTTGAGAAGGCTGTCAACCAGTATTGCTGGGATTAAGTGCAAAAGAATCATCGTCCAGAAATATATAATTCTGTTGTCAGTTATGTAGACAGAAGGCTTCCACAACATGTTGCCCAGAGGATTCTCTGCTGTTACTTCCAGACCAATATCAAGTAATAGCTTTAAGGTTATTTGCTTCAATTTTCCTGATGATGCATTATACACTGCAGGGTTCAAGTTACTGTACAAAACAAATGGCACAAGTTTTGAGTATATTAAAAATATCTCTGGAACACAGACACTAGATTCTAATAAACAATGCTTGGATTCAATTTCAGATTACTCCATGAAGATACTGCGGCACTGTCGATACTTCAAGAGACTAACAGGCAGTCAGTTTCTATAACAAATATTTATCTTTGCTAGATTGAATGCACGGAGGAACTTCGTTTTGACCTAAGGCTCAGAGTCAGATGATTCACCCTTCTTAACAATGTATATATAATTTTCTTTGAATAAACGTTATACATAAAATTTGTTGAGTATTTTTTTCGGCATGGAAAGCATTATCGTATCTTACATTAATTTATATGGGGAAAATTGTTTCGCTTAACGAGTGTTTCGCATTACGAGTACGATTCTGGAAAGAATTATGCTCGTTAAGCGAGGTTCCACTGTAGCATTAGAAGCAAATGTATTTGCAAAAGTATGATCAGAGATACAATACAATAAAGCGAGCTAGCTGCATGTTCCTTTACAAGGAAAAGTATGAAACCGTTACTACTGAGCTGTATATGCATCAGTAGAGAGTAAAAGTTATAGAACAATATACAGTACATGAGGTATTTGACTCAAACAACGTCCACATATTTGAATAAAAATTTTAATTTTTCTACGTAGCGCATAAAATTAAAGGGGGCACGCGGTAGCGTAGTTGGTTGAGGGGCTATGATACAAGCCGGAAGGTCGCTGCTTCAAGTCCCGATGAGGTCGTTGGATATTTTCAGTTGACCTAATCCTTCCAGCCGCATTATGGCCGTGGGGTTCACTCAGCCTCTAACAGAAATGAGTACCAGGAATTAATTAAATAATTTTCCTGGGGAGTAAAGCGCGACAGGCGTGTAAGACTGAAAACCTTGCCGCCATCTTGAAGCAGATTGTCTAGATAATGTGGGACCCTGAACGTTTCACAACCATATAGGCCTTCATGGTCTGGTACAGGGATAGGTTTACTTTTTTTTTTACATAAAATTAAAAAAAACAGCTGAATGATTAAGAACCGAACCAAGTTAGTTGTTCCTGTGGTTAACTAATTAACTCTAGACCATGAAGATGTATAGGGGAGAGGAAGTATAAATCCATGTATTCTTGACCTGGATATTAGTTGGAGGTACTTGGTCACGTTCACACGGTACCAATTGGATAGGAGGTTGGGTGGGCCCAGGATCCAGTCTGGACGACGTGGAAAGGAAAGAAATCTTGCCCTATCGGGACTCCAACACGGAACTTTCGGGTCTCCAGCCCATAGCTAGTCGCTATACAAATTTAGCTACACCAGATCCCAGAAAGAGGTTCATGCATGCTTATGCATAACATGAATTCGGAGTTTTGTAGTTAGTTTTCATCGCAAACATTCTAACATAAAAAGTGCATAAAACATGAGTCGGAAGAAATGGGAGAATGGAGTAGCTTCTGAAAGCTGACATCTGGAGGGCGAGCTGACAGTTGTGCTCTTTAGACACACTGTTTTAGGCCATATGTCACAGAGAGGATGGACTCATTTACCGTATTATCCTTGAAAGACACAAACATAGGCATAATTGTTGGTCTTTGAATATTGAATGTTGGTTAGAGAGAGGTACAGTTGCCATTTGTTTAGTTTCAAGAGTATTCGACACTAGTGAGATTTCCTTCTCACTCATATCCAAAAATTTGAATTAAATTTCAAGATAGATAACTTTTATTGAAGAAATACATAACGAGATATATACAGAAATATTTTCCATCAGATAAGTATATTTTCATAATTATCGGATAATTAAGTGCCATATTATTTAATCTAAATGTCCATATCTAATAGTGACCTACTTCCTCTTTATCGAAGATCACGAATCTTGGCATTGCTTCACAATTTCTTATTAAGATTTCAGATATAAAATTGTATAAAAATCACTACATCCGTTCTCGAGTTCATTTGTGCATTCACACGGACAGAAATATTGAAGGAAACTAACGGTTACCTTTTTATTTTTGCAGTACAGCTTGTGAACATGCCTAAACATTTCATTTATAACATTCTTCACTCTGCTATCCATTTTTCCACATTTTTGGCTCTCGGACAAAGGTACACACACACACACACACCATAACTATGCCACTTGGCAGCAAGCAGACCATAAAAGCAGTACTCTGTCCTTGCAAGTGAGCCCTTGCAGTCTGGTAGAAAGCCATCGGCGTTTCGGAGGTGTACCTGCTTCCATCTTCAATGTTGAAATATAACTCAAACGAAAAATCGACAAGAGTCATAGAGTAAGAGGAGCTGTGTGGCATTCCATTCTCCTAGGTCCGACTTCACAGCAACAAATGAGTTTCTTTATTTTCTGATCATCTAGTCACGTGACAAAAATAAATTATCGGTGTATAAATATATCTACCCATGTGCATCCAGATTTCATGCCAATTGTGTTACACTTGCGAGTGTTGCCGTCATATCTGCTGCTGTGTGTGTCCTGTCCTCTAACCCAGTGTTCCGCAACCTTTTTCTACTCGCGGCACACCGTGAAGTATCCAAGACTCAACACGGCACGCCGAAATGTTATTCCCCTCAAAAACGCATGATATCAGACTATTAATATAAATACGTAACGTGATCAACTTATTACTCTAACATTATTATATTGCTATTCTATTATCATTAAACAGAAATCGACTCGTGCATTTATTAGCAATTAATGAACTTTAATCCATTGTAGAGTGCAGAAAATGCACTTCTATTACTATTAAAGTAAATACAGTAATTCTACTCATACCTTCAATGTGATATTTGCGCCTGCGTAGCTGCACACAGGCGACTGATCCGTGGTGGAATCGTTGACAACGCAAGTCTCATTTCTTCATCGATGGATTTGAGCCGCTCCCTCTTTGATGTCTTAATTTCAGTTAACTTCGAGAAGCCCAGTTCACACAAATATGTAGTTGAAAATGGCAATAACACATTAACTGCCATCTCGGAGATAGCCGGGTATTCACTCCTTATTGCCAACCAAAACGTATCCAAAGGCACTTCGAGAAGTTTCAGTTTCAATGTTCTGTCTGCTTTTAAATCTGCGAGTTCCTCTTGTATATTAATCGGAAGATGTTCTGAATTCACAGCAAATGGATCACGAACCCAGTCGAAATCTTGTACACTCTCTCCAAAATACTTATTGAATTTCTGCTGCAGCAATTCTAAATGTTCTTTAATTGTGTCCATCACCACTTTATTGCCGTCAGCAAGTGGCCATACAGCCGGGGACATCTCAAACGACCCATCTGTAATTCTCTAACTAGCAACCTCAATTTGCGAACTACTTCAGAGCACAGCTGTGATAGAACTGAAGCAGTTGTAAAACGTGGGATCTCTACTCTTCAAACGGAAGAAGTGACACTATACCAACTTATTTTTGAAATATTTATAATTTTAAATGAGGTCCAACAATCGGTGGGTGCATCGTTACAGGAAGAAAGTCATAAAGTTGAAGAAGCTCTAATTTCTAACAAACAGGGGCAAATATCGAAACAGCGTTATAAAAGACAGGAAAACCCATGCTAATCCCTGCAGTTTTATGGCAAAGCACGTACACAGAACATGGGGCAAGCGTATCAAAGAAGCTGCGTAGATGCGAGAAAAATAAAAATAAATCAATAATGAAAACTATGATATAACAACAACTGTGAGTAAATAAGTTACATTTAATTTCTTAGAATACAACATTACTGTACATAAAAGATCACGGCATGTAATAAAGAATAAACAAGCAGCATCTTATTTAATCAGTGCAGTGGCTGAGAATAAAATACAAGCATATGAAACACGGTAACTGGGATAAAATAAAACGAATAAAATTCCACAATTAATTTCTTAAAATAGTTAAAATTTCGCCACAACCTTTCACCTTGTGACGGCACACCGGTTGCGGAACACTGCTCTAACCAGATGTCCCTATATGTGCAACCTGGCATGTCACGTAATTTATAAAATATTGTTTAAAAAACAAAATGATCCATGGATATGTAATATTTTAGAATTATCTTCCCTTTTGAAAGTACTGTAACTTCATCTGCAGCCAAATGTTCAGAAAGGACATGCTATTTTGAGTACGCATCATTTAGGAAGTTGAAAATATGTATTCATTTCCATAGCTGGGCACAGTTCTTTCTGTCCTTAACTAACTAAGAACTACACCATGAAGATATATTGGGGGCACACGTTAGCATAGTTGGTTGAGGCACTATGCTACAAGCCTAGGTTGCGGGTTCTATTCACAATTAGGTCATTGGATTTTCTTCAGTTTACCTAATCCTTCCAGCCACACTATGGCCTTTGGATCGACTCAGACTCTAACAGAAATGAGTACCAGGGATCTTCTTGGGAGTAAATGGTGGCGAGTGCATAAGGCTGACAAACTTTCTGCCATCTAATTGTCTAGAAGGTGTGGGAACTTTGACTTCTCACAAGCTTATGGGCGTCCACATCCTGTTACAGGGTAGTTTTTTACAATGTGAAGGGGAATGGATGTATAGATACACTTTGGTCATATTACCAAGATCATTGACATTGTTTTACAACTAGAGAAATGTGAGGGGCTCTATCACATCTCATTGTTTTATCGTATAAAGGCAAAACGGACTATTTAGTAGTCTTTCAAGTTGTAATGTGTGTCATGTCCCATTTGAAAAATAACTGCTAGAAACAGAAACATTTCAGGTTCAGGGACGTCAAGTGTCGGAGAAGGTCTATCACCAAGGAAGTTTTAAGTACTGTTGGTAGTAATAATTGGCCTTCTCCAACAACAAGTGATAACAGCTACAAAATATTATCACTGAATGGTGTTGAGTTGTAGTTTTTATGGTGTGAAACATTCTGTCTTTTGCCAGTCATATCACCAGTGAGCTGATGGACATTGACATTTGTCCTAGCCATCAATTGTCCGAACTTTGACAACCACTGGAAAGAAAATGGTTCATGAATCAACACATTGTCAGAACTATTGTCTTTGTTGTTGTTTTGTCATTGCTGTTGTTGTTGTTGTTGATGATGATGATGGTGATGATGATGATGATGGTGGTGGTGGTGGTGGTGGTGGTGGTGGTGGTGGTGGTGATGATGATGATGATGATGATGATGATGATGATGATGATGATGATGATGATGATGATGATGATGATGATGATGATGATGATGATGATGTGGACACCCACATCTGCCTGACCCATTAGTCAACCTGCTTGTACATTCTTCACCAGGGTGGAATTGAAAATTGTTCCGTCATGTTTTCTTCATCCTTGTCTGTTTTGTTAGAGTTCTCCTCAGTTGCCTGTGATTTGCTGTTAAGTGTTCAACATTGTCTCCATTCTGAAATAAATGTAAACTAAGCGGGTGTTTATAAATATATATTTTCAGAACTTTGAATGATGGGCTATAGAATAGATGGCCAGGGTTCGTTTCCCACCAGGGGTAAGATTTTTTCTCTACTTTATATTATCTAGTATCCATACTGACTCTGAGGCCAAGACAGCTTCCTAATCAAAGGGTGCCAGGGCTCCTTTTTCACTGGGAGTAAAGTGGCCAGGACATGAAGCTGACAACTTTATTTTCATCTAGGGCTGAGTTAAAGAATTGTAGAGCTATAATCAACTCCTACATACATCTTCATGGTATGGTGTTTAATTGATTAAGCACAAGGACAACTTGATCTTTACCATATTTCAAAATGTTGAATACAGGTAAATGGATTACCTCTTAACAGACCAGGTTTCATTTGATATTCACAGCTTTAAAATTTCAATAAATACAATTTCTCTCCTGAAACACATTGCATTTCAGATATTTAAGATTATTTAAGAAAAGGTATTCGGCTGATAAGCCAGGGATTAGATGTCACATTTTACAGATTAATATTTCTTTATAGTGTTCTTCCTGTCTCTCCAGTTGATGATCATTGGCCCACAGGACCCTTCCTTTACTTTATATAGGATATCCTTGACTGTATTTCCTCCTAGATAATGCTTCAGTAATATTATGAAGGAATGCTTTAACAGTGCCGCTAAACTGGATATGTCACATCCATTGATAATCTTCCAATTAATGATTTTCAGTCACCATAGAATTTGATGCCATGTACTACAGAGTTGATAGAGCAGACACAGTCCACTGATGATAAGGAGGCTGTGTTAATATGCTAAAAGGTAGTATTCAACTTAGTAGGAGAACTAAAACTATCAACAAGTAGTGTTTATTCCAATTGAAGAACTTACCTGGATCTTGCTTTCTCCCAAGCTGCAATACATATGATCTTTACAGCAAAATCAACTGTCATATAATCAACAACTGTGTCTGGACTGCCAAGAGCTACTCTAACAATTCCTTTGCCTGATGCTATCAGAAGACCTACTGGGCCATTGAAGTTTTCTATCCATCCAGGAAAAGGATCATTCAGTGTGGATATCACTGTTGAAGAAAACAAAGCAGTAGCTTATATAATTGCCGAAAGTATGACACACACATGCACTCTCACACATACTAATGATTATTTTAAGTCTTGCGTTTACTCTTTCCCACAGCACGCACAATTCCAATACACAATCTACACAATCAAATAGCAATAATGATGTGCGATATCATGGGAAGACAGTGGAATTGAAAGGTGGTTGCTCAAGCTGGTTGCAGGTAGCACTAATTTAATTAAAAGATGGATCTGCCAGCAGTAGTCTCACTGTTGTCAGCTGTGGCTATTTTGATGAAAAGTGCTTGCACAGAAGCAGCTACTGGAAACCTGTATCACAATCATAAAATCTACTATATGAAATGAATGAAAATGTAGTTTAAGAATTTAAAGATAAATTAGATTTACTTTTGCCATTGTTCTAGAGTAATGAGCTGTGACACATTAGTCAACATATATATATGATGCTATGGACTGTGTGACCAAGGAACTGGGGCCTTCTCCAGCACAGGTAAGAAATTTCTTGTCAATATCATCCAGACCAGTTCTGAGCCATGCAGCCTCCTACAAAATGACCAAGGGGGACTGTTTTTCCATAGGTAAATGAACAAGAGCATTAAACTGACCAAACTTCCATCTAGTGGTGATGTTAATGTGTGAAGCTATACCTCCACTCCCCCATATGGCTTCATGGCCTGGTGTTTAATTAAGAACAGGGATAAATTTACTTTTTTCCTAAGTGCTTTATATGGTTTTGAAATATACTCTCATATACTGAGGAAGGAATATAAAAACCAGGTATATTATAAACAGTGTTAAGGAAATAGTGTCATGATTTAATGACTACACACGGTGTTTAGATAGACAATTAAAATCATCCAGCACTTATAACCAGTAACTACAAGCAGCTCTAACACTATCACACATGCACCTAACTTTAAAAATATCGCTCTACAGCAGCACACATAATGTCTTCTCTCTTCAACAGTTGTTGCCAAGTAAAGGTACCCCAACAATGTAGATTCCTCAGCTTTCCTATTAATGTTCTCATTGACTGTGACACTTCACTCATCATGGGTGAAACTAAAGTGCTGCCTACCCTGCCCAGCAGAGTATTACTGTGTTCCACGTTCCAGGGAACTCTTGACCATATTTTGCTCTCTGATGGCTCTGGTAGAGTACAGAAGGCTAACTCTACTAAAGTCAGAGTTGCTTTACGACTGGCGGTATACCACCAATCCGTTCGCCTTTGTGTCAAGCCTCTTGATGTTCAGGAGCATGGATACTTTTTCCAACTGAACACTAATGGTAATAGTCTTTGTGTAACATCTTCTCTGATGACAGGATTGGTTTGTTTCTTTCGAATATGCTAGCCAAGACGGTCGGTAGTTTGGTAGGTGAGTCAATCAGTTAAATTGCTGCTGACCCTCGCCAAGCACAGCCATTCTTGGCTTCAAGTCTCATCGAAAGAACATGACGGCTGAAAGGCTGAATAGTGGAGCGAGTAGAGTTGGTTATTGCTATTCAGCGACAATGTAAACAGGTATCCATTTCAACAGAGACTGTCGGAACGATACAGGACATGGTGTTTTCTGTGATGTCTAGGTCAAGTGTATATAAGAAGGACTGGCAGCAGCGGGCTTGCCCTTGTGTGTATATACAGGTATGTGTGAATGGAATAGGGGGACAGATGACGAGTGAGTGCCCACGTGAGTACCACCAGTAGATGGGTAATGTCCAGTAACAGTCAAACCTCTCCTCTTGTTGAAGGGTAGGGCCCATTTCAAAACACGGTCGAACTTTCGAAAGAAAGAATACGGTAATGGGTGTCGCCTGGACTCTAAAACAATAATTGCTGTGCTGATGGGAGGCAGAAGTAATTTTAAATAAGAAATAAAGTTTCTGAAATGCTTTAATCTGTCCTATTCTTTCAAACACACAATTTTCACAATTGAACTCTATCTCTGCTTATTTCACATTTACAAATACCATGTACTGAGGGAAAGAATATTGAAAAATAAACATTAGTATATTCTGCAGTGTTTCTGTTTTCACTAATAATTTTTAAACCGATTTTATGTTCAAAGAATGATCACTAAATATCACATTTCAATTTGTAACTACAGGTTGTTTATAAAGCATAACTACTCTATTCAACCGTTTGTAGGTTTTAGATTTTCTTCAATTAAGTGTCATGTACAAGTATATGTTATGTAAGGTAATTTTTTCACCCTTTAACTTCCTCCTCTTAATATTTCCTTCAAAATTTTCTGATATTGTCACGTGTATCAGGGATTAAAATGTGGTTTTGATATGATAATTGGATTTATTAATAACCTACAAGTCGGAACTACAATTCATTATTACACTATTCCTGCTTTACAAAACACACCATCACTCCACACTAGTCTCTTCAGTTTATCTGCATTAATATTCACGGGTGTATAACACGGGAACTGTAACATTCTCACTGAGTCACACACTCCAAATATTACACATAAATAAATTCTTCTAATCACATTTTAAGACTTCACAGGCCGACTTCTAGTTCTTCTTCAACTACGAACTTCCGTGGCTATCTCCTTGCTTGCTTATTCGCGTGCTTCTGCCGCTACTATTCGCAACAAGTCGAAGTAAAAGCCAAAGTTACTTTACGACTGGCAGTTTACCGCCAATCAGTTCCTCTTGGCGTCAGGCTCCTTGAGGCCCACTACGAGAGATATCTTTCCAACTGAACTCTTACGGTAATAGTCCTTATTAGCATCCTCCTTGACGAAGAGATGGCTTTCACTCTTATGAATACGCTTAGCCTTTTGTCAAATGTATATTTCGTACATATAACATGTTATTGAAAATTGTTCCTTTCGCACTACACACAAGTCCTCTCTGACTACAGACTTTACAGAGCAGATCACGCCTAACTTCCATATCTTATGCTACAACGGCGGCTTAGTCATTTAAATGGTCGTTAGCTTGACCACCGCCAACATTAAACCTCTTATATTTTTTATGTACGGCGTCACCTTGTCCTATACCAAGAATATTTTCATTCTCATGATTATTATACGGAACTTGTAACTACTTTACATATATAGCCGAGGAACTGATACGGGCCTATAGTAAATATAGATCACGTGGTCGCTATCCAGCCAGTCTATTGGCGCGTAGGTCAGATCTACAGAAAGAACATGTCACGTGACATGTGACGTTGTGACGTCACCGCGGACACGTAAAAAGCAGCTTCTTGTACTGCTGCGTAATCTAGCAACGAACTGCTTATCAAGAATCTGGCTCCGCCGGAACTTGTTTACCAACACGTTGCCTAGCAATGGGTGTTAGTGTAACATTATGATTTATTTTTAATAACGTAGAAGAAAATGGGATGCCGAGACTGTGCAATGTAAGGAAGCAAAAGTTGATAATTTTAGTCAAGAATAAAATTTGTTCTTATATACTAATTATTAATGCTCTTAATAATATACTGTGTAGGATCTGGTATTCGAAGTCCCAAAGTTCAGAAGGAACTGAAATCCAAAGATTATAACTCTGAACAATTTACATATAAACATGCTTAAATGCAAGAGACAGTTTATTTTGCAACATATGTTTAAAAAGATTAAACGCTGTTCTTCGGAGAAAAAAAAAGGTGATAATACTGGCTCTCATTTTTCCACTTCAAGTACTCCTTAGATCAAGAAGATCTCAGTAAATATTTTCAAATGCTGAATCTACATGATATAAATTTTTTGCTCAGGAAACCAAATGCAGAAGCTCCCTAGTCTGGAAAGCATTTGATCAGTGACTTTTTAGATAGTGGGTGCCATACTGTATTTACGTCTGAAAGAAATCAATACATAGACGGGCGTTGCAAAATCACAAATATTACTTTTGAGAAGTCTGCAGTTTGAACTGCATTAACTTCTACGCTCCTGTTTATTGTGTGAGCTACTTACCTATGGAAGGTCTGATTATTACGATTGGCAGGTTTTCTCCAAGATCTTTGACCACATGCTCTGCCAGTGACTTCGTGAATACATATGTATTTGGAAGATTCCCTAGAATCCTGCAATGCAATAAACATACACCCCAAAGACATATTAATTTCTTAGTACGAGTACAAATATTTTCGTACCTTGAATGATGAAGTATGTGATACAGTTCGAAAAATAAATATTTTTCTGATGTTTTTTCATTTCATAATAACCTGAGACAAGATGACGGTTAATCAAAATTATTTCTTAATTTGCTGTGTAATGTACTTAAACAAATAAGAGTATTGGTCTGAAAAATGCTTCTATTACTCAACATAATCTCCCTGTATACTGAGGCACTTCTCCCTCCGTTTCACAAGCCCCTGAAAACCAGCAGCATAAAATTCTTTGGGCTGCTGTCGGAACCAGGCGGTGACTTCCCTTTCTACAGCTTCATCGTCTGGAAAATGTTCAGTCGAAAGATGATGTTTAAGAGGGCCGAACAAATAGAAGTCGCTTGGAGCAAGGTCGGTGCTATATGGAGTGTGCTCTAGGACTTCCCATATGAAATTTTTCAGCGTCTCATCTGTCTTGTTGGCAGTATGGGGACTCGCATTGTCATGCAAGAGCAACATGCCTTTGGTGTGGAGTCCTGGTCGCTTCCGTTGAATGACCTTACGAAGTTTCCTGAGGGTGTTAGAGTAGGAGTCGGCATTTACGTAAATGCGGACTCCTACTGTAACACCCTCAGGATGTAAATGTTCACTCTAAAGGGAAGTCACGCCTGGTTCCGACAGCAGCCCGAAGAAATTTATGCTGCTGGTTGTCAGGGGCTTGTGAAACGATGAGACAAGTGCCTCAATGTACAGGGAGATTATTTTAAGAAATAAAAGCATTTTTCAAAACAGTACTCCTATGTGTTTAAGTTCTATATCCATTTGTAACGTACTTATTGACTTACCTAGGTATCATCAGGAAAGTCCAGGACTTCCTGCAATTCAGAGACATAAATGAGATGACAACAATTTCTTAATTATCTGTTGTCATTTTATCCAGTTTCCAAAATGCTCAATACTAGAATATGGAAGGAAAGAATTTGTCATTTCTTATGTATGATTATAAATCTTGGTTTCTTACTATGAGAAAAGAACATATATTATTACGAAGTGTTTAAAAAAAATAGAGAAATACATGACCTAGGAAGGATGAAATGCTGTGAAATTTATGTCCGCCACATACGTAAAAAGGAAGCTACTAAGTTACACATGTCTCCCATTGTTGTTAGGATATCGAAATGTAGGTTCTATTCCTGGCTGTGCATTCAGTTAGGATGCATAACACATTTTGATGGCAAGCGCTCTGAGACAACAGCTAACGGCTACTTCATACAGCATGAAGGAGAAAGAAAGAAACTGAAGATATACTGTAGGGAATAAATTTTGAAGATGAGAAATGGATGAAACTGGTTCAGGATTGTGTTCAGTGGTAAAGTCCCTGTGCTTAACTACTGAAGCACTATGCCATGAAGGTGTATGGAGGAGAGGATGTATAGATCAATGTTTCTTTGACCTCGGAACTAATTTCAGGTGAGAAGTCACCAGGCGCTTTACCCTGCTACTCATTTCTGATAAGGACTACAAGTCGGATGGTCGCGGGTTCGATTCCCGAGGTCATTCGATTGTTCAATTGACTTAATCCTTTCAGCCGCACGATGGATAATGTTGTTTTTTTAATGTTATCACTTTTATTAAGTCCAGGTCAAATATATATTGATACATTCAGATAACTACGTTTATTGTAATCAGCTGTGGGATTGTCAATGTTCCAATAGACAACAACTTCGAACAGTTTGCGGGCCCTGAAAAGGGCCGTTTGTTCCACCGTGCGTGAGCTGGAGAGTTGCGGCAGGTAGCAAAGCGCGGTTGCTGGTGTAGCGGCAGCCGCGTTAGTTGCCTGGTCACAGAGCGTAGTCCCTGGAGACTTGCGGCAACTATGTCAGTTGCCTGGTCGGAGAGCGTGGTTGCTTGAGAGTTGCGGCAGCTTTCTTGGAGCAGTAATGAACTGATGACTCTGATGACTGATCGCTCTGGACTGAATGTCATCACCGATGATTGCAGAGCAGAACAGAGCAGAAACTTACAGCCGACAATCAGCCGGCACGGTCATTCTTGGCATCGGGCCCCGCTGGGACCCATGGCTATATTTTTGTGTTGAGTGCAGACTTTTTTTCTCTCTCTCTTAGTTGGTCCTCCTTAACGATAAAAGGAGTGGTTGGTCTTTTTTTTTGTTTTTAATTGGTGTTCACTTGCTACAACTTATTGGAGAAAATGTGATATATACATTTTTTTTACTTGTTACACTCTTCACAATATAACTGATATTAAATTTTAATACTATTATGTACAGGGACATCTGCCAGTGTAGGAATGTGCAGCAGCCTATGCATCAATTTATTTAACAATCCAAAACAACAATTAGACACTTGAACGGTCGTAGGTCTGACCGCTGCCAAGTTTATAGCCTCTTATATTTCCTATGCCTGGCTTCTCCTTGTCCAATTGCACGTACTTTTGGATTTTCGTGATTTAGGATGACATCTGCCTGCCTCCTGCATAATTTAGTTATGTAATCATACACGTACGGAATTTTGAACTCCAAGTGCAAATGGCGGACCAGTATGCGCCTGTCAAGATTGCCAATAGCGCGGAGAACTCTGTTCCGCATGCGCTGCAGTTTCATCAAATTAGTGTCCGCCGTAAACTCCCGGCCTAGATCATTATTGATCTAATTAGTGCTTTGTACACGATTAATTTAATGTGTGTGCTCAAATGCTTGCTTTTGAATATAGAGCATATCCTAACGTGCGTGCCCAAGGCCTTGGCTGCGTTTTTCTCTGTGTGTAGTCTCCATGTCATCCTCCTATCGAAGGTGACACCGAGATATTTTATACTATTTACAAATGGGATGTTCCGTCTTTTTAGATGTAGGTCGTCCTCAGGCATTCTACGCCTTCTGGAGAAGTAGATAGCCTGAGTCTTCCCTTAATTGATCTCTATGTTCCAGTGCTGACACCATGACCCCACGACAGTGAGACCACGCTGCAGTTTGTTGAAAACTCGTCGCTCGTGTTTCTCTGTTGTGTATATACAAGTACCGTCCGCGAACAGAGCAAGGTGTATTCCAGGTGCCGCGGGGTATCATTTATATATAACCTGTACATCACTGGGCCAAGGACGGAACCTTGTGACAACCCTGCCGCTACTTTCCTGGGCGAAGAAAGTTTGCCTTTTGCTGAAACTTTAAATTTTCTTTTTGTTAGAAATGAAGCAATCAGCTTTACGAGACTGGTCGAAAATTGTAACTCTGTGAGCTTATATAGTAGATCGGGGTGCCATGTTGTGTCAAAGGCCTTTTCAATGTCCAAGAATGCAGCAGCCATCGACATATTGTTATTAAAATTAAGAGAGACGTGATCCGTTAGCCTCATGCATTGGAGTGTCGTGCTGTGACACGCACGAAAACCAAACTGACTTGTGTTTAGCAAGTTTCTTTCCTCTAAGTGTCCATGGATTATTCCTAGAATTCCTTTCTCGAAAAGTTTGCCCGTAGTAGACAGGAGGCTAATCGGACGTAAATTTTGTGGGAATTTTGGGTTTTTGTCGGTTTTTGGCAGAGCTATGATTTTGGCTTCCTTCCACGGTGCCGGGAAGTGACAGAGTCGAAAACAGTGGTCAAATAAATGCGTTAAATGAACGAGAGTTCTTCCTGGAAGGTGCCTGAGACATTCATTTGGAATGCCATCAATTCCGCAGGTCTTTCCTAATTTTAAGGATCGAATTTCTTTGGAGACGTCACATGGTCGAAATTTAAGTGAGGGGTTTTCTTCGACTGTAGTCAGCAGAGCTTGGACTCGGGCCTCCACCCGCTGTTCATGGTCAGTGTCACAGTTTGTGGGCTTGAACAGGTTTTCTAGATAATTTGCAATTATATTGGCTTTTCTATTTGAATAAAATACTGGTCCGAAACGCCCACGAATTGCAGTTGGTGCCTTTGGTCCACCCCTCTTTGTGAGGGATTTTGCAATAGGCGGTATTGCACGAGGTGTAATCTCACAATTCTCTATCTTGGTTTCCCACCGTTCAAGTGCCTTCTTCCGGGCCATTCTCCTTATAGTTTTAGTGACCCAGCTCACTGCCGTTTTGCATTCTGGAACCCGGGTTTCTTGCCAAAGATTTCTGAACCTCTGCTTGTACTTGAGTAGACGGTCTAGGCCAGATGGGCAGCGATTACGAAATGAAGTTTTGGTTGTTTCTGTCGACAGCCTTGTAACCGTATGTCCCTCGCCAAAATTATTTAATGAAGGGAACGACCAACTTATGCACTGTTTATCACCATGAGAGACGCTCCTCCGGCGAGATACCATCCCGGGACCGTCTGGTTGTAATTGAACTACTGTCCTCCTTAAGCTTATAGTGTCACTATTGTCCCTAACGTCACCTGTTTGCTCCTGGTATCGTAATCCCATGAAATGACCTTGTGCGAGACCGGCCAGGAAGGGTCTTGGGTTCCCTGCTTGTGTGCCTTGAAGACCTAAAATAGTTTATGATGGGCCTCTCGAAAAATACGAATGTAGTACAGATGCCAGGCTGGACCCTTGGCTTTCTCTTTTTATTTTCTTGTTTTTTTTTATGCCAAATGGGGGACTTGTACAGAGAGGGCAGTCGGTTACAGGGAGCGGAGGAAGACAGTTGTTGAAATGTAGACAGGGAACAGAGAAGTGTTTTACAGTAGTGGTAGCGACTCGGCGGACGGAGCGGCTAGCTTTGAGGACAATGTAAATATTGATCATTGAATGAAACTTTAAATTAGGACTTCAATACACGGTTTGTTCTGGGGGCCCCGGATTCATGAAACCCGAAGTGTGTTCCACTCCCATATCCGAAGCACCCGTAGCCCTGAGACAAAGAACTCAAGCTCGATCGAGAGTTGTGGCAGCTGTACGTAGGCGGATGGCTACAGCCTATATGCTGATGCTATAGAAGCTGCAAAGTCGCGAGCTGCTTTGTCAGCTTCTATACATGAATTAATTTTGATTCTTGGGGATACTAGGGCAGAGGCGAGGCTTTGAAACCGCTCCCAATCTGTGAATTTTACAACTGGATCTAGATTTCCCTGGCTTTAGCATGATCCAAGATGCAAAACATTGTAGGTAGGTGATCTGAATCCATGGTGTCCAGAACTCTGACCTCTGAGAGCCGAACATCTTTATGGACCACAATGTCCAGGACATCACCTCTCCCATCAGGAACGAAGTGGGTAGGATACTGTGGCGCCGAATTTTCAAAATTACAATTAACAAATAGATCTAAAAGCTTCAAACCTGAAGGGCTTGCGATGTTACTATTCCAAACAGGGTGCTTTGCGTTCAGATCACCTGCCAAAATGGATTTTGTTCTAAGGTTTAAGAGCTCTGTGATGTCTGAGTCTCTCCACGCTCTAAGTGGAGATTTATAAACAGATGCAAGCAGCATTTCAGTATGACCAATCGGTATGCAGACCCCCGTTACCTCTACTGAAAGGAGGGGAGGCAGGTCAACATGAGTATGTGGGATTCCCTTTTTGACTGCAACAGCAGTTCCGCCCTTATGCCCATCCTGGCGATCATTCCGATATATATGATAATTTGGAATATAGAACCTCATATGTGGTTTCAGATGTGTCTCCGAGAAAAGGGCCACATCTATTTTTAGGTCTTGCATCTGTTTCCGTAGCTCATAGGCCTGTCTCCCAATGCCGTTGGCATTGAACGCTACAATCTTCAGAGGCCTATGGACTGTTACCACCATTGCGATTCAGTAGACTTAAATCAGCCTTGGTGATAACTGCAACTTTTTCCCCTTCTGATGCAGCAACCGAGAGCCCATAATCTGCTGCACCATAGTGAAGGCAACGAACATATCGTCCGTTGCATTACTATTTACAATTTTTGCCTCCACTGACTGACCTGAAGCTTTGTTGGTGAATTGTTGATTCTGGGGACCGTTAGACGCTTTCTGCTGTGCTGAGGTTTGCTTCGCTTCCACCGAGCTGTGTAGAACAGAGGCGAACGTCCGCTCGGCTGTAACATATTTGGAGAAGAACGTTCTTCCTGAAGACCCTTCATTTGTCACGCGTTGGTTCTTCTTCCGCCGCAGCTCCTCCTACGCATGACTGCAGCATCTTGGGATGCTCTCGCTATTCTCCTTTTCCGGGCATTTACAGTGGCGGTGACCACACCCACACCATAGGCATCGAGGAGGCTGCCTGCAGTGAACCCAAATGTGGCCAAAAGGCTGGCAGTTGTAGCACTGGGTCAGACCATTTCTTGATTTGTAAGCCTCTACTTTGATAATTATGTTGCAGAGGTTGGTGATTTTGAAGATTTCCTGGGATTTGTTGTACTGATGATTGCGAGCTTTGGGCTCCGGCTTTCATACCATGCTTGATGGGGGAAGCGAAACTTGCAGTTGCGATTGTGAGCGCTGATTGGCTAGCGTGCGTGATTATCTACAAGTGAGTTTGACATCGAGTGCTGTATAAATATGAGCGTCGGCAGCAATGTAAGACAATGTGATATTGACCTAGGAGTGAGTGTTGTCTGTTAGACCGGGGAAACCGCGTATGTGGGATGTTCCCACACAGCCCAAGATGACACTTTATTTTTTAATACTGAATTAAGGAGAGAACTTACTTTGGTGTCAGAACATCGAGTATATGTTCATCGGTGTTCTCCACAATGTTGATAATATCTCTCCAATCAGCATGGGGTGGATAGATGACCTCCTCCACAACTTTTCTGTCACAGATGCAATAAACCGTGGAGATATGAACTAAAACCTGGAAACCAAATGAGCGCAGTGACATAAGTTTAAAACTCCAGTTCCACGAGCAAAATTTGGAAATCTAATTTCATTCCAATGTGTTAAAAGGAATTCAAATCAATTTGTTGTGAATCAAATTACCTTCCAGTTTAAATATCAACCAGAGGCCAACTGATATTCTTTTAGTTCTGTCTCAGCCCTGCAAAGCATTTTCCTAGTTAGCTCTTTCTAGTGGTCGACGCCAACAGTTTCGAGATCTTTCGTTCTGCTTCCATGTACAGTTCAATAATGGTGTCATGTGTTGCCTATATTCTAAACGTATTGACTTGTTATTCAATGCGCTGATAAAGAAGCACTTATATTGCTAAGTTACAAAATTGTTTTCTAATATTCCGATAATTCTATTCCAATATAATTGGTTTCTTCTGTAATCCTGTGTATTTGATTTTATGCATTTAAAATACTATTCTGAGAAGTGGTCCATAAGCTTCACCAAACTGACACAGGGGTCCGTGGCACAAGGAGATTAAGAACCAATGATCTACTGAAGTAATGGCTATGGTATAGTAAATTTGTGGGCTGATTTCTTTTTATTCTATTGCACTTGGCACGAAATTATGAGAGCTGATATATTACATGCTGAATGCACCTGATAATCGTACATCTTATATAACACAGCCACAATAAAGAAAGGCAATTTTACAGAACAGTAGTTCGATTTTTTTTTGTTATGTGTATAAATTCAGGTACACTATCCAGAATGTAATTGAAATCTAGCAGAGGGAGAGCAATCAAGGAATGGCCTTATTTTACTATATTAAAACTCTTCTGCTTCATGCCAGCACGATAAAATTTTCTCTTTAAGTTGCAGTCCTATTATTATAGTAGTTAAAGTATGAACTTAGCAGTCAGTTACTCTTGTTGTGACTCAAAATGACAGTGGGGCAGAAAAAATGACAGCATGACGACGGTGTTTTTCTTTGTTGAAAATTTCATAGTTCAAATTCATTATATGGCTGTCTACAGTGTTCAAGGAGAATACTCTGACACTAGCATTAAGCCTTTATTTATTTGAAAGGAAAGGATTGAAAAAGAACTCCATCAAAAATACTTAAGCCCAATAGCTTTAAAGCAGTTCCATTTGCACAAAGATAATGAACTGAGTAGCATAAAAATATTTATCTCCTATAGAGCTCCTATGTCCAAAATACTACATATCTGTTTTTTTTTCAACCGGCAAAATTGCATCATAATGGTCACTGTCTAGTTCACAAGCAATCAACAGAGATGCATTTCTTTCAATCACGACTTGACCAGCTGTAAGAGTCAGTGGTTAATAGAATTGGCATTCACGTACAAAACAAATACTGACAGAGTTTATGAATTTTACCATTAGTTGTTATTTCCGCATTACCATCATACACTCCATTTTTTCATATGGATTCTTTAGTCCTTGTTCATATTAAAATATAGTCGCAGATTATTCAAAATGATGTCAAATGCAACAAAAGTACAAATATTTTCCCAGTTATTGTACACACATTCACAGTTCCCTCTAAATACATTTTACTGACCATCAGGCAACAGGTGACCAGGCCGCGCATATCTCAAGCGGTTAGTCGCTGGCTTCCCACCGCGGCGTCCCGGGTTCGATCCCGAGTCTGGTCAAGTGGGATTCTTGGTGGACAAAGTAACGCTGGGGTGGGTTTTCTCCAATTACACTTGGTCGTCGACTTACGACCGGTCGCATTTACAATCACAAAAAAATGAAAAATAAAAGATGATTAAAATGTAATTTTTTTAAAAATAAATTATAGAGATGATAAGAAGATTAGAAAAGTTAAAAAATACTGCTAATAAATAAATGGCCGACGTACGACCAGATCGATTTAGGACCTGTCAGTCAGAACGGAAGTCGGTCGTAAGTCCACGACCAAGTGTACTTCGGTTTCCCCTACCAATCTTCATTTAACCAAATTCTCCATCATCATAATCACCCAGGGCAGGCTTCAATAGGCCAGTCAGTGGCCACAGTGCCGACTGGACCCACTTTGACTAAACCCCCCCCCCACAATAAGAGAATTAAAAAAAAATGTGACCAAAGTTTCAGACTCAACAGTTCCTTAGATAACCCTTCATTAGTCAACCCTTCGTATACATTAAAATTTTAATCTCTATAAAAAGGAAGTATAGAATCCTTGAAATAACCACATTTTAACATCCACCATAACATGTGAATTCTCATTTGATTAAAATGTGTGTGTATTATTTACCCCGTTTGGGGTAAAGTGATCCTCATCAAAAAGATGATATTTTGATGATGGTGGGAGTGTGTGGCTAACGAGTGTCAGAAATGAAATTACCTGCTTCTGTCTCCGCTTTTGAGGTGCTGAATTTACTGGATGGTAGAGATGGTAGACTTGTCAATGTCTGCCACACTGCTGTGTGGAGAACATTGAAGCAAGCGACAGTTCATCGTTTAGTAATAAGTGAGCTGTGATGCAGCTTTCCAACAGCGTTTTTCCACCCACGTTTTCCCTCTCATTACCTGTGTCTAGTGATGACACACACTAAAATGCCCCTCTTTCTGATACTTATTGATAGACAGTACTGAGTACATGCCTATTGTGGATTCTTTGCGTCTGATATTCCTCAACAGCTGTGGTGAAGTTGTTGTTACAAAAACCATGGACAGTTCATATCTGCATAGTCTTCGTTACCAAGTATAAACAGCATATTTTCAATTCCCTACTTCCATACAAATGTTATAAGCACAGGTGCTCTATAACCAGTAACGGTCAAAATTTGGATGTATACTTTTGATATTTTTAATCATATTAATATGAAAGAAATTAATTACATTCTTCTGGAACTAATTAAAAACTGTAGCCATCATCAATTTAGTTTTAATGAGTTATTCAAATTCTTTAAGTTAGGTGAGACTTGGGACAAATTTTTCGTTTAGTTGTAAGACTGAGGGCTTTGAGAGAAAAGAGAGATGGGAGACCAGGGTGCACAGCTGATCTTCCTTTCAAAATTGTAAACCTTGATATATGCCTTAAGTAAGTAAAAGTAAAGGTATCCCTGTAACAGGCCGTGGAGGCCCACAGGGTTGTGAGATGTTAAGTTCTCACATTTTATAGACAATCGGCGGTAAGGTTGTCAGCCCTACTCGCCGGCAACCCTCTATCCCAGATAATGTTCCCAGAATATTCCTGGTATTCATTACTGTTAGAGGCTGACTCGACTCCAGGGCCATAGTGCGGCTGGACGGATTAGATAAACCGAAAAAATGCTCCTCATCAGGATTCAATTCCGCTACCTTCCGGCTTGTAGCATAGTGCCCCAACCGACTACCCTAACGCGTGTCCCTGATATATGCAGAGTTCATAAATTTTAAGCAGGGCATTTCGAGAACCAATGTCCTTCTTTATTCAATTAACGCAGCAGTAACCAGCAGTTGAGATCTCCAAAAATGAACATTGCACGCTTTTGTTTCTAACCGGGAAACACAAAACTTTTGTCCACTTCTTAGTGTTAAACCAGCCTAATAGAATACAGAGGGTAACGATTATCATTCAAGCCTGTGAACTTGAAGACAGGTGCCTTTCTGCAGAGACTGTTGGTTTAAACACTGTGTAAGATTTAGTGCATAAGTTCGGACATGCTTGAGTATCATCCACCCACCCAAACTTAATCTTTAAACTCTGTAACCATTTCGACTCCCAAGAAAATGACAGCTCATTTCATTGACCCCACTCAACTTTGTATGACCTGATTAGGATGTAATTATCATTCAAATATATTTCTTTTCAGAGCTTCTCAGAAAGTGTTACTACTTGAAATGAATATATAAGTATATAAATGAGCAACACTATTTCACCCATAAAATCTCTCATCTCATTCTGATTGCAATAAATCAATTTTCAAACATAAATTTTTTAATACCTGGAAAAGCTTTCAGCTGTGCAGTAACAACATATTCTGCTTTTATTAAGAGGCTTGAAAAACCGTAAGATAAATAAACTGATAATTATTTAACCAATCAGCCATTGTGTATCCAGAATTCTTTCTCCAAACTGGGGGAGCTGAAGACTTTTTTTCATAAATTTACGTTCAGAAACACAGGACTACTCCCAGCAATTTCCTTTGCTTTAGATTTTTATTACTAATGCAGAGAATATTTCATTCTGTTTGTAATTTTCATTTTGTTTTTAAAAATTCAATGTGTCAGGTGCCCATTCCCTACCCTGGATCAACTAGCACCCATGATCCAAGCTTCTAAGTTCTTGGATTCACCTATGAATTTTTCAAAATTAACAAGCAATTAATAATAAATATTTTCTACTGATAACATTTTCTGGAAAATGATGAAAATGTAATTGGGAAAATCTAGTCACAAACAGAAAATATGAAATGTACTCGTACAAAATAAAAATAAAGCCCTAGGGTGATTTATTTCCTACATGCCCTGTGAATCGATCAGCAAACTTCCCAAGAATTATACTAAAGTGCAATAACATGGTGCAGCAAAATATACTCATGAAGGCTAAAAATCTTAACATTCTTTCTTTCAATTCATGAAACTCACCTTTAAATGCTTCATTTTTCTTGCAATTAACATGACTTCCCGTGTTCCTCTTGCATTTATAAGTGTTGCATACTTGAGGGTAAAATCAAATCTGACACTGGCAGCCGAATGAAACACTATGGACACGTTTTCTTCTAACATTTGCCGGTCACTTGGTGACAGACCAAGCCCCAGTTCCATACAGTCGCCCGACACCGGCACTATTTTCTTAAAACTCTCAGGATATTTTTGCCTCAAGACATCAAACAGCTGTAGACATTAAAATTATGGATTCAGTTTTATAAGACTAACTAAGCATACAGTTTTGTATGAGTGTGAAACTTGGTCTTCAATTCTGTATTTCAGCTTCCTGTTGCAATTGTTTAACTTAACGTCTATGTATTTATCGTCAGTCAATATTGCAAGACTTGTTTATTCTCTACTTAATTTTAATTTTAGTTTAACATTATGTAACCGTTCATTCTGACTGGAGGAGTGTTGTGTGAAAATTAAATTTGTATTAAGTTAAGATTAACAATATTACAAACAAAGAGATCCGGCAGATAGACAGCTCTTACACGCGGAAGGGACATAGTTCAAGTTTTGCTATGTGAACAGGAAGTAACATCTGGTACTTTCCTGGAATTCTGGCAGTTTCAGCAACGTCGGAAAGGCTTTGAGAAAATGAGAGCTGACAGCTTGGGACAGCGATAACTTAGAAGTGGGACGGCCGGAGCCTCACACCCTGACCGTAATGCATCAAGGGGCTGTCATCCTTAGCGTCAGGTCAGCATCTGCCAGAATCACATAGCAGAGCAACATGATTGGGAATTCAAAATTTAGGGAACCTCCTAGTTT